AAAACGAAGTCGAGTAACACGAGTTGAATCTCTTGGAAGAAGGCATCTATAGTGAAGTTGGCTCGTTAGGCTATGCCATGGAGGGGCAAAGCCGAGCAGACTGTTGTATTCCATCCATCATTGTTCCCACTCAGATGGTCGAGTGGAAAAAGAGATGGGTGTTTCAACATCTCTCATGTCCTAAATGGGCATTTCAACTTAAAACGGCCATAATTTTTTATCGAGGGGAGCTACGGGACCCATAAGATATCAATGGAAAGCTCGTTTCAAACTTGACACAAAGTGGCTAGAGCACAACTTTGTGATACTAAAGGTGGTAAAGTTAGTCAAAACTAAGCTTTGTGTGGGGAAAGACAATTGTTGAGAGCAAGAATTTAGGAAAGCGAAAGCTTTAGGCTGTTTGTGACTGAATAATGAGAGGCTTGACCTTTATTTATATAGGAGCTCAAGGGAGCTTGAGTCCTAGTAGATCTCTAAGTCCTACTTGGTATGGAAGTTCGAATTAGGAAGGAACTCTTGTTCCTTGCTTTTATCATTTCAAGAGTATTAATTCGTGTAAGATACTAGATCTTGAATGAATTAGGAAGGTGATAGGATTCTAAGTCTTATTTTGGGACGCAAGTGGGCTAATGGGCTAGAGCCCGATTTAGCTTAATCTTATAGAAAGGCCCAACTCATGGAGTGACTGACAGAGTAAATTGGCCCAGTTTGTAGGGTGGCCTAACTTGTAAATTAGCCTAGCTCATGGAGAGGGCTGACTCATGGTGTGGTCCAGCTCGTAAAATGGGTCGGCCCATATAATGTTCCTTCTTACAAATTGGGTCATCACATAGGATGATCAATCCACAGAATGGATCTAAGCATAGGCCCATCAGAATTGGGCTAAGGCACTAGGCTGTATTTAGTATGTCTTTCGTTATTGGGCCTAACGAGGCCTAGTACGATTTTTGGCCCATACAAGCACTATATAAACTCCCTCAAAATCATTGTAAAGGGGTTAGCAAAATTAGAGAGTGAGAGAGATTATTTTTATAATCAAATACATTAATAAGAGAAATAATGGATGTAGGCATGAAGAGTTTAGCTCACCGAACCACTTTAAAAATCTGTTTTGCATTTAGCTTTATTAGCTTAACTATTTCTTTTACTGATTATTTATAATCATGCGGCCATCATATTTGATTCTATCAAAGTCAATCGGGTATCTCTAGTTGTTTCAAGATTTTGTAACAACTACATCGATATTTCGTCTTATTTAAATAAATATTTTCTCTACTCTAACAATACAACACAACGTTCTGTATATAAGGTGTAAATGAATTGATATAGCTTTGTTTACTCCAAAAAAATTGCTGACGTAGATGACAAATATTGCAAAATCAACAATGGAACTGCACCGTGGACAACAGTTTGAGACAGGTTACTCTCCTTTCCTGCGAATACCATTAATACAATTTTATTAGTAAGGGAATATTGAGTTCAAACAACTTTCTAATAGATAGATGAATGCATAGAAAATTATTTATGGCTTTGTCAAATCTCTATTTGCAACAAAACAAAATCTTTTGTTGTCATTCTGTAAATTAAGAATATTTTTCGCCAGGAGTATTAATGCAGAACAAGTAAAAACTTCTAAAGATCATTACCTGTTGATATTACCTGTTTCAACTGCAAGTGTTAAAAGAGTATTTTCTGCGATGAAGATTGTAAAAAATCGACTACGGATTCGAATGAAAGATCAATTGTTAAGTGATTATCTTATTACATATATTGAGAGAAAGATATTTGATGGAATTGCCAATGAAGTAATTATACAACATTTTTAGAATATGAAAAATCGTCAAGGACAATTATAGAATTGATAATTTGGTATATATAATTTTTAGAAGTATATTTTTTATGCTTATTACTTCAACATATATTTTATTGTAAATTTATCAACTTTAATGTTTTGAACCATTGACTTAGAATCGTGACTACGTCCCTGAACGACACCGAAGATTAATAGCAATTTTGACGAAGCCATTGCTGTAGATACTTGTCTGGCCTTTAAATGCCAAACGTAATGACTGATTGTTGTTTGAAATGGGCAAAATATTTGTACATTATATATCTGTTGTTCGCAAGCGTTCATGAATATATGATACTACTACAACCATTTACTTCTAAATTTTTAGTATTCCTTTAATTACGACGTCTTCTGCTTCTTTTAGTTTGAATTAATTTATTAGTGCAAAGAGTTTGGGTTGACTTGATTAGTCTATGCCCAAAGTGACCACTCAATTTCTATACTCTGTCCTTCCATTACCCTGTTTGATTACAAGACTTGACTGTATATTTAAAATTTTTGTGGAAACAATGGTTGAAATATATGTCCTTGGAACTTTAATTGGAGAAAAGAGAATGCATAACCATGCCAGCTTGTGGAAGTCTTCTTTATTTATAAGCATCGTTCTTAGCTTCTAGCCAGGATTGACATTACAACAGAGGAAACTTTTAAAAACCATAACCCTAAGAATAAGATCTTCAAATTTTCATGCACTCATGTTTCGCTAGAGTCAGTTTAGCAGTAAAATGGCTAGAGTGAAGACAAGAAAGATGTGGAGGGATAAAAATGGAACAAAAATTAGATGAAAGATTTTATCTACTAAACCAATTAAAAAAATGTCATATTGAAACTTGTCTAAAGCAAAGGAGTCTTTTTGAGTAGTTTTCTCTTCATAAATTATCATACTAAAAGTTATATAAATAGAAATTTTAATATATTTTCTTAAAATTAACCACCCCAAGTTTTAAATTATTAAAGATATAATGTACTCTTCATTTTGGACTCATTATTTTATATTTCATTATGGAAAGATTTTTATATCAATATAAAGCTGAAATGAATTAATTAAAAGATATTTAATTGAATATAAGCATTCAAAATATACAGATATAAATTATAAGTATCAGAGAGTATTTTTCCTTTTCTTTCTCATAGTTTGTTAGAAACTTGTCTCCTTATATCATATCTTGATTTTATTTATTTATTGTTAAAAAATAGGTTTCAAGGTGTATGATACATAAAAACTATTTTATAGTATTTTTTTTGTAATATATTATTAATATTTCATAACTGTTATTTCCTATTTCAATTTTTGGTTTACATTTTGCTTCGCAATCGACGAACCTTAATTTGAATATTATGGAAATTTTCATCACATCTTGTTTAATTTTTTTTTTTTTTTTAAATTTTAAGATAATTTATTTAATCAATTAATTTTGTGTATAAAATTCTCATAAAAGGGTATATTTAAGATTTTACACCCACAAAATCAGTTTTAGAGATAATTTAGGGTGTGTTTCGTTTATTATTTTGGATAGGATTTTGGGGATAGTATTGGATAATTGAATATATGAGTATTACGAGGTAAAATTTAAAAATTTATAAAAAAACCCCCTAAGTTTGCTAATTTAATAAATACCCCAATATATAAAAATATGTAAAATGACAAAAAGACCCCCACCACCAACATTGTCACGGATCTGGCCGAAAAAGGCCAGATCTACGGCCATATGTGGCTGTTGACGGCCGGAAAAGGCCAAAGAAGGCAATCTTTGGCTGTCGTTGTCGGTCAACAATGACCAAGATTTAGCCGTCGTTGACCCATTTCTTTGGCCGTCAGTCTAGCCTTTTCTAACCAGATCGTGGATCTAGCTAGAAAAGGCCAGATCGTAGATCTGGCTAGAAAAGGCCAGATCGTGGAATTACCGACCAGTTTCGATCAACGTTGTGGCAAATTCCAGCTATCACCGACGACGGTGGTTGCCGGAATCTGGCAAGTATGGATCGCGGGGGTGTTTTTGTTACTTTTTAAACTTTTTTTCAGGGGGCATTTAATGAAATTAATAACCTTATGGGGTCTAAAAGTAATTAAAAAAATAGGCTAATATTTCTAGAAAAATGTGCCAAACATTATTTGGAGAATAGGATTGGGAATATAGGCAAAAATAATAAGCCAAAAGCACCCTTAATTTTTAAGAACCTTCCCTACCAGCTATTAGAATCTTTTTTAATTAGTTTTATAATACTAATTACAGTAAACAGCTTTTTCTCGCCCAAAAAGTTTCAAAATACTACTTTCTCACCCAAAGTTTATATTCCGTTAATACCTAAAGCCAATTCCGACCGATTCTGATGGCAAAAATTATATTTGTAACCATCATTTGAACCTCCGGTCTCTTCTCTATAAAACCCCTCTCACTCCGACACCTAATTTCTCGCCAATTGTCGGCTACCGCAAATCTAGGGTATCACGTTCTTATCTTATTTCCGATTGATTCCAATAACGAATATTCAATTGGTCACCAACATTCAATCCACTGGCCTCCACTCTACAAAACTTCTCTTACCTTGGCTCCTGATAACTCACTGAATGCTGGCTAAGAAAGTGAAATATGTTTTAAGTATTAACGGAATATAAACTTTGGGTGGGAAAGTGATATAGTTTGCAACTTTTTGGGTGGGAAAGTGTTATTAAGGCAAACCTTGGGTGGCAAAAAGTTGTTTACTCTATTAATTATGTTACAATAAGTGAAATTAATCACTTAATTCTTTTTTTTTTTTTTTTTTACCGAGAGTGTCTAAGTCAACTTACGTACACCTCGACTAGTCTCCCGACCCTGAACAAGGCTTCCGAAACAGGACAAGCCCTACAGTTCGTGACCAACAATATTAACAACCCTTTTTGTGATCACTTAATTCTTAAGTTACAAAAAATCCCAAATGCACTCTTAATTAATTACCCATAAACAAAAAATATGAATGCCTACTTTCATATAAATCAATCTAACATTCTGTAATTGATTTTATTACCCACACACTCAAATTTGCTGCATCCCATCCAATTATCTTTTACGTTTACGAAATCACATTCAAATTCTTGCATATCCATAGGGTTGCGCCAGGAACAATATATAATTAAGGGAAGGTGAATCAAATGCATATATACCTCTGCTTAACGTCTCCCAGATGCCACAGATTCCGCAGAGAAAAGGTGTTTCACTCGTGAAAGAACTGAATCGTGCGCAGGATCATATGGATGATCCTTAGAAGGAATCTCCAAAATTGCATGGATTGGTTTGTTGTAGCTATCAACCAAAAACCTTATCATATTCGCAACCTGAACATCAAGGGGCATTAGTTAAATCAGCATACCAAACAAGAGCGAAAAAGACTACAAGCTAATTTCATAGACAACTAATTGAAAAAGAACAATACAGAATAAAGTGAGAACTTACACACTGGCTAATCAGCACTATTGCAACATCCTCCCTGGATGAGAACTCTTTAAATGCATCTTCGATTTGCTTCACAGTTGTTTCTACAAAGCATAAGAAGAAAAAAAAAATTAATTAAAGCATAATAATTTCAACAAAATCCACTTTAAAAGTCAGCATAAACATAAAATTTGCTCTGTTATGCGACTAAAGCATTGGAGGACAAAACTTAGAATCTGAAAACGACTAATGCATAGCGGCTTCAGTTTATGAGCAACACATGAAATAATGCAGTAATATCAACTTCCAAATGTGTGGCATGAGCTTCTTCTTCTTGCTGAGATAAATCATGATGATGGTATTAACATCAGAATATCGACCAACTGTGGTGAAAGCTGACTACGAAGAAGTTCAATGAACATGGACCAAACATCTATCACATATGAGGAACACAGATATATTTTACAAGCTACTTCTTCAGCTTAGGAGAATACTAAAAACACAAATTCCCAAATGTATGGATCTATCCATAGTTTTGAATCAAAATTTAGATTAATAACACAAAAGATTGAAAGAGAAAATAAACACTCGTGATTCGGTTGCATCTGGCGCACAATTCATCAGAAACAAATCATGTACAGAATAATGTACAATTAAGTATAAAAATCCAATACAAACTATGTAAAATATATAGATACTCAAATCAAGTAATTAGCATTCAAAGTTCAAGAGAATACTTGCATCCACAATAATGTAATTTGTCTTTCTCCGCAAATCAACATTTCCAACCCCAGCAAGTAGAAATCCAACTACAGTGTCCTATAGTTAAAAAAAAAAAAAAAAAAACTTACATGTTAATCATACTCCAAGAAATTGCACATCGTATAAGTGAAATTCCACAACTATTTATATCCCAGGAATTATATTATAAAAAAAGAATTTAATGAACACCATTTAAAGCATATATGCCATTGAATTAGCTAATCAGCTATGACACATCATTCATATCACCTTTACATTTTCGCAATAGCCCGTCTTTGAACTCAAGCCTAAACATTTGCACAATAATAATACTCTAAAAAACAAGTGTTTCAGAAGATCATGATAATGTCTCATGGCAGGTGGAGTTTTCAACAACACATAAACCAACTTTGATAGCAATGCTAATCCATTCAACAAAGAGGAGGGATTAGCTAATTTTCAGGTCTTGGCAACTCCAGGCCAAACTTTATTCTACAGATAGTCGGTCGAAAAAAAAAAATACGAGACACAAGAACTTACAGGGAGCAACAAACTGATTCATAGAATAAATAATAAGAGTCATAATTACAATCACCTTTGTAAAGGCTACCAGAGCAAACACTCTCCCAGTTAAACATTCGTAAATGATCATCAACACAAACTAATGAACCCAGTGGAATTTTTGCTATAATCATAACTTATAAGTAAATTATTCTTACCTCATCTGCGATCATCGCGATGAGAGCTGAATCACTAGTACGAATTTGAGGTCTGTTGGCCATTCTCGATGACTAAAAAGAACAAAAGAAAATTATAACAAAGAAATTCATAAATTAGCTTTTAATATATCATAAAAAATCCTTCATCCTCCGTTTAGAAAAGAGCACTCCAAATTATGAAATATTTTAAGTGATCACGTAAATGGAAATTTACAGAAATAATAAGATAACTTGTTCAATTTTTTTCTTTTATTTTCTCAGCATTTCTCACCAACCAAATTTGATTGTTGAAGGCGTCAAGTGTGCGTAGAAAAGAGCAGGAAAAAGAAAAGAGATTACCGTTTATTGAATTCGAATTCTAGTTCTTACTAGCTCTTATTTGATGTAAAACTCGAGTAAGAAGATGGTTTAGACTGGAACCTGCGAGAATATATATCGTTCGAATCAGTTATTGTAGGAATTAAATCTGGAAGGGGTGTTTATGTAATTCAACAAGTTTAGCTTATTTGTTAAGCTGTTAAGCTGTTAAGAGTTAGCTTGATTAGTTACTTAATTAGTTAGTTAGTAATTAGTGAGCTTAAGCTTAACAGTATTGTATATAAAGTCGCTTGTAAATAAATGAAAGGCGTGAAGTATTATTCAGAAATAACTTTTTCTTTTCCCTGTTTGTTTATGGTATCAGAGCAGGAAAGGAATTCTTATTTCTTCTGAATCTTCTTTGAGCTTTTGAAGCTTTGTTTTATTGATTGCTTATTACTCGATATGGTGAGCAGTGATAGATCCAGGATTTTTGTCGAGAGGGGGCCTCCGCGGCTCCACCATTATTTACCAAATAATTAATGAAAACTTAAAAAAATCACCAAACTTTAATAAAAAAATAATACAATATTAAGAACCTGAGAAAAAAGAATATACAATAATACAAGATTTTCTTACTTGAATAAATATTTGAGAAATAAAATTTTGAGTAAAAGTGTTGAGTAAACTTTGAACAAAACCTTCTTTTAATATTTTTAGTTTTTGGCTTTCAAAGATTATAATATAAATTTTCATAGAGTTGATTAAATATAGCCTAATTAAGCTAAAATCAACCAAAACTTAAATCAAGTCAACATTACATTGACTTTTAATATGAATTAATAAAATAGAGGAAATTTTTTTAGTATAAACATGATAGTAACTCAAATTTCTTTAATAATTTTGAACAACTGAACAGTGATGTTTAAAATGTATGAAAATGGTGGGTGAAGGGTGGAGAATAACGTCCTTTAAAATATAGTTAAGGTTTTAATTTGAGAAAACAGATTCATTCTTAGAGAGAAAATACAAAATAAACTCACAAGATTAATATCTTTTCCTCTCAAATTAGAATAAAAAACATCAAAAAGAAAAAATTAATTCAATCCTTAAATAAACTAAATTGAAATGAACAATACACATACCTAAAATCGATAAAACAGAAAACGGAGCTAATTATGACACTTTAAGTAGTGAAAATTTAACAATTTCAATCTTCAAAAATTTTAAGAGCGAATAACATGAGAAAGAGAAAGAGAGAGTGCAGAAAAACACTAGAGAGAGTTTTAAACTTTTAATATAATGTGGGCTTGGAATATATATATAATAAGTTTTTTTGTAGACCTAGATATACAGTATGTATAATAGTTCTTATTTTTTTTAAATATGAAGGTGGGTCTGGGTATATATGTTAATTAACAATTTTTTATGGCCTGTATATTAATAATTTTTTTTTTCAAATCTGGGCCTACCCTCAAAGGGGCTGAATCCGCCCCTGATGGTGAGTGAATCAAGTAATACTGGAGCTGGAGAATCACTAGCAAATTCTAACAAAAGGTCTGTTTTGAAAGAAATGGAGTTGAATAATGGAAAGAATTCCATGATGCTGCAAAATTCGAACCATCCAGGCATGCAACTGCTGAATTTTCTACTTACAGGTAACAAAAACTATCTAGCATGGAGTAGATCAATTTTAATTGCATTAGGTGCAAAACAGAAGTTAAGGTTTATTAATGGAAAAATTCTAAGGCCAGAACAAGATTAAGATAATTTTGAACTTTGGTCAAGCGTTGATTGCATGATTAGGTCATGGTTATGAATTCTGTTTCGAGTGACATAGTAGGTGCTTTTCTTTATGCATCTACTACTGAAGAACTATGGAATGAACTTAAGGAACACTATGGTGAAAGCAATGGACCTCTGATCTATCAAATTTAGAGGGAAATTGCTTCAGTGTCACAGGGAAATGAGACAATTTCGAAGTATTATACTAAATTGAAAAAACTTTGGGATGAGTTGAACTGCATTTTACCAGTTCCTGATTGCAATTGTGGATCAGGAAAGAAGATGAATGATATTAATTCTCTGAATCGGTTGATGCAATTCTTGATGGGGCTTAATGATTCCTATGATCAATTAAGGAGCCAAATTTTAGTACTTGAACCATTACCTACTGTTAATAAGGCTTATTCTATGGCTTTGAAAGTTGAAAAACAAAGGGAGGTTCATATCAATTTTTCAAATTCAAGTAGCATTTCTACTATGTTTGCTAAGGCACAAATGACTCAAGGAAACAATTCAACAAAGTAATATGGAAGCAGTGGCAGTAACTATAATGGGGGAAATAAGAATAAACAGGAAAATAGGAAGAGGAATGCTGATAAACACTGTGATTTTTGTAACCAAAATGGACACACAAGAGAGTTTTGCTTCAAAATCATAGGTTATCCAGAATGGTATAAAGATCTGAAAGGTTAGCAGGGTAAAGCAATGGCATCACAAATGATGGATTCTCCTCTGAATTTTGAGGACATTGGTGAAGAAGAAAAGAAAGGATTGTAGGGACAATCTCTCACTGATATTATACAGCAGGAGGTTATGAAGCTGATGAAAGGGAAAATGCAGTTGGAAAATAATCAGGTGAACTTTGCTCATCTAGGGGACTTTGCAGGTATGAATTATAGCTTACAAGTTATTGATTGCTTAGAAGTAGGAACATGGATTGTTGATACAGGTGCTTCAAACCATATGTGTGTTGATTTGAAACTTATGAACTCACCAAAACTTGTAACCAAGCCTACACCTGTCCATTTACCAGACGAAACCATAAAGTTTGTGAACCATATTGGAAATATCCTATTAAGCTCTAAACTAACCCTTTATGATGCTCTGCATGTTCCATCTTTCAATTTTAATTTACTTTTAGTACCCAAACTCACTGCTAATGCAAATCTTAAGTTTACTTTTTACCCAAAACATTGTGTTTTGTAGGACCTACAAAATGAAGAAATATTAGCAGTTGGGAAACTTGTTGGGAATTTATACATTCTGGACAAAAACAGTCTCCATTTTAGGAATTCTTCTATATGTAATAAGACAAAAACACAAGCTATATCAACTAAGTGTTTATCTCCTGCTTGTAATGCTTCTTCTTCTACTAATAAAGTGGATCATTGCTCATTACCTCTTTGGCATAAGAGACTTGGTCACAGCTCTTTGAATGCATTGCATTATTTACAGTTTATTGACAAATCTATTGATGCCTCTTTTTCATATTGTGATGTGTGTCACAAAGCAAAACAGTCCAGGTTACCTTTTCCTATGAGTCGAACTACATCTCTTAAACCTTTTGATTTACTTCATTGGGATATATGGGGTCCTTATAAAGTAAGATCTGTTACAGAAGCACATTATGTGCTGATCATCAACACTATTGTTGATGATCATAGTAGGGTAGTATGGACATTTCTTCTTTCCCACAAAACACAAACATTCACTACTTTAAAAAAAAAAAAGTCATCTTGTAGAGACCCAATTTGATGCTAAAGTTAAAAGCATTAGAACAAACAATGGAACTGAATTTCTTAACCCTAGTTGTCAACAACTATTTCATACATTAAACATCATTCATCAGAAAACATGTGTCTACACACCTCAGCAGAATGGTATTGTCGAAAGAAAACATAGGCATCTACTTCAAGTTGCTAGAGCCTTGATTTTTCAAGCTAATATGCCTATCATGTTTTGGGATCATGCCATTCTCATGGCAACTCACATCATTAATAGGTTACAACCTCAATCCTTCAGTGGAAATCCCCATATGAACTACTATATAAACAAATTCCTACCTATGATTCTTTTAAGGTTTTTGGTTGCCTTTGTTATGCAACCAATACACTACCACATAAAGATAAATTCACACCAAGAGCTAATAGATGTTGTTTCATTGGTTACAGTCAAGGTCAGAAAGCTTTTAAGCTTTATGATCTGTCTTCTAAAACAATTTTTGTTTCTCGATATGTGGTTTTTCTTGAACATCTGTTTCCTTTCTCTACTGACTCCACTGCCAACAATTCTTCATGTATGCCATTAATTTCTTCTGATCTTGAAGATTCGTTTCCTACAGCAACTGATTATTTACCTGCCACATCTCACCCACAATCCACATCTGATTTTGACATTTCTGATTCTATACCTTCTGCTGAGTTAGGAACTCATTCATCACCTACAGTTGATACTATTATGCATGCTGAACCTATTACTGATGCATTGCTTCCTGAAAATTTGTCTCCTGATCATGTAGACCCGTATTCACAGTCTAGTAACATTTCACCTATTCCAATTGCACATTCTCTACCTAGGCAAAGTCTTAGATCTAAACAGCCACCAAAATGGATGAATAAATATGTGCTGCACTGTAATAATTCCCAATAGCTCTCATCTGTTGATAAATCTCATTTTTCTTCAATACATACACCTCCAACTTACCCTTTCATTGATCCTCTTTGTTTGTCACACACATATATCAATTTCTTAGCTAATGTCTTAACAATCCAAGAACCTACTTCCTATCATCAAGCTTGCCAGCATCCTGCTTGGATTAAAGCCATGAATGTTGAACTTGATGCTTTAGAGTCCAACCATACCTGGGAATTAGTCCCATTACCACCTGAAAAAAAACCAATTGGCACAAAATTGGTTTATAAAATTAAACTTAAACCAGATGGGAGTGTAGATAGATACAAGGCTAGGTTAGTGGCCAAAGG